ATCTATATATCAGCAACCCCTTAAAAACTACTTATATCCCACTTGAAACCTATAGCGTACTTTTAAACAGTGTTGAACTGATTTGAAAAACTAGGTTCTATTTTGGACATTTAGTTATTTTTAAATATGAGCCCTTGCACTTTATGTTTACAGCTTCCAGACTGTCTTAACATCACTCTGTGTATCAGGCCAATGCTGTGCTACCAAGAATTCTGAAAACAGGATTGTAGCCCCTACAATGAACACTTGAGAGCGTGTATGAACTATGAACAGGCATCCTGAAACTAAAACCCGCAGTTGTTGGCATATTTCCTGGAAGCGCATTGCAGCACATCAGTTTTAGATTGCTAAAAAACAGGAGAAAGAAAATGCTAATAAAAGAATTATTATTTTTTAAAATAGCAGTAATACTTTGAAATTACACAATGCGAACTGTATTAAACATTGAAAATTATCAAGTATAAAGACTACTATTAGGACCAAATTAATGACAAAACCAGATTCTGAAGGTATTTTGATTGATAAAGACAAAAGAAAGTGATGTTAAATCATAGTTCACAGATTATTCAATTTTAATGTCTCTATAGTAATACCGCATCTGCAAAATTCTAGAACGCATTATATGACTTGTGAGTCTTCATAAAATACATGGTTTTAATAAATAGCAGTTGCCAACATTCTAAATTAAAGAGTTTTCAATATGGAAAGTTCTCAGAGATGCTAACATCTACAAAGGAAGCATGCTAAACCACTGCCATTTGTGAATTCACATTATAGGAAAACAAACTTGTTGTTGATGTTGTTGTTCTATACAATATTATGCCAGACTGCAAAAGGCATAACACGAGCATATATGTGAACGTGACTGCAATAAAGGAAGGTTCCTCAGTATTTTGCATTTCAGGCCTTAAAAGAATAATACACCTGTAGAACTGCAAGCTGTATGGTAACATACGAAGACTATACATCTAGTTCAGAGTTTTCTTATGTTGTTTCCAGTGTGGGTTTTTTTTTTTTAATGTAAGCATAAAGATTTGGTGCTTCTGAAACACTTCCTGGAGACAGAAATCATCTCCTCCTGTGAGAGGAGGACTGAGAGCCTGCCTCGTGCAGCAAGTGCACCGCTCACACTCCTGCCTGCAGCCCCTGACCTACCTGTTCAAACCCTCTGCTATAAGAGGGAGCAGATTTTTAGTCCTTTGTTTTGCCGTCAAACATCTGTGGAGTGAAATCCTGAGCAATGGAGTAAGATCCATTTTACACAGGCCACCAATTACCATCACAGAGTGATGGTTTTCCATCACTGAATTTAACAGATGATTGAAAAATGACAGATTTGATTTCCCACTTCTCACTTAGCTGGCCACCAGCTGATGTAGTACATGAATTTTTTAAAACATTCCCGAGATTTGCAGTGTTTTCACTATTCATAATACAAAGCAATTCTAGAGTACATAATGTATAACAAGTTAACAAGAAAACTTACAGAAAACTAGAGAGAAGTTACCAGCATCCAGCTGGGCTCAATTCTGCCAGTATTGCAGCTTTTGGAAAGAACCTCAGTTCACATAATAATTCTATCATTTGGAAAGCTTCCTGACACAAATAAGCTCTTCATCCATGGGGATGTATAAGAAGAGACATACACCCCTCTATGAATTAATGTTTCCTTCCACCATTCTAAATGCTTAATGCAGAACATCTTCAAAGATCGTAATTGTAAGGTTATTACACAGTTTAACTCCCACAGAAAGTACACAGAGCTAAGTGCATATTTGTCACTGCAGTGGGGCCAGAATTGGGTTTTCCTGGCTTCTAAAATCAGAAAATTGCACTTCTCCAAACGGGCTTTTGATAACAGCTTTTTGTTTTCAATCCACAGAATTCAAAACATCATTACTTACAGTTTTATGTTTGAGACAGAAGTACCAAGTGCTCAACTGTGCAAAGCACAGGAAATGTAAATCACACGTACACATGAAGCACAAAGATGACTACTACTCTTTTATCTGTACTTATAGCACAGAGCTAACAAATAATATCTCCATGCAGAAACCAGAAATGTAACTGTTAATGCCTGCACACACATACATACTTTGAAACTGTAATCACTGTATAAAATACATGTGGATGGTTAGATGCAGTTGTAGGATTATAGTCCTCTTGCTATTTCTGAAGGCAAATATTATTGAGAATAGGCACAAATTGATTCTGATTTCCACCTGGGCCAAGCCCACAGAGCCCATCAGAGCCAGACAGAGGACAAACAAGTGCATGAGTGAGTCCATCCTGCCCAGGACCACGAACCCAGAGGCTTCTGCTGCACAGCTCAGCAGAGCACAGCTGGAAGCAGGAGACCATGGCGGTATCAAGCTCCTCCCAGAAAACTGTAGCTGTGATTCAACCAGAGTCAGGATCAGGTTGAAATGCTCACATCATCATTCACATGCAAGACACTCGTTTAAAATCTAACCCATACTGTTGCATTGTGTCCGACTATGTTCTTTTTCCACACAGAAAGGCAATATTTCATCCGTGTTAAATTCCTGTCTTTAAATTAAGCCTCCCTTTTCCTCAAGACTCCAAAGAAGTGAATTAATGGTTCATTTCAAGTTCTTACTGAAGTTGGAATTTATTTTGAAATAGAGCCCAAGGAAAAAATAAAGCAAGCTAATTAAGTATTGCTTTGGGCTCAGTAATATCAATGCTCTTGCCGCCTACTTACATTGTTTCAATTCTGCTTTGAAGTGGTTCTCACATATTTCTGGTTGTTTGCCTTACGTTTGTGTCAGCACCATGTTAAAATTCAAGACTTATTTATCTAATTAGTACTGCCTCATCTCAGCTGTACGTACCAAAGTCAGGACACAGCGCAGGATAACATCTGACAGGTTCCAACCTAACAGGTTCTAGCTTCCAACGTTAGACCAGCTGAAGTGATTCACCAACCTTTGCAGGCCATGCAACCCTCACTACAGTTGCTATGGCATAATCTATAGGACCTGACCATTAATGCTGAAATCCTAGTCCAGCTAAGCAAACAGGTTTAGCCCCAGCTTAAAACAGGGCAAAAATGTTACCGTAAAACTTCTTCCTCTGACACTCAACATGCATCTACTTTTTTCAGTTCTTTTCTTTCCCGGTGAACAACTGAATGTGAACGCTCTGCCCTGGCTCATAGTTCAGTGATCAGTGCAAAAAGCAAAAAAGAATATATTTTTTCATCCCCCTAACCCTTCCATTAGGCAGTTTGGTTTATAAGGTACCTTTAAGACAGTTCACTTCGTTTACTTTATGATTTGTGTGAAGTCTTTACGATTTTATAACATGTATACATATTTGCACATTATAAATTTGTATTTTAAAATGATCTCTTACCATACTAAAATGTGCCTATAGGTATTGCTTTCTACAGCTAGGAAACAACTTTTTTTTCTTTTTGAGTGTTGATTTTGGTGCATGTTAGGCAGAAGTTCTAACTTGGACTTCATGACAAAAAGATACACGCTATTTTCAATAGAAAAGTAACTTAAAATTCAGATCCTTAATTCAGAATTGAGATTCTTAATAAAAATAAAAACAAGGAGAATTCTAAAACTCATGTATAAATCTAGAAATTCAAATGATAAAGGTTATCTGTATCAATAATAGTCATTGCTACTTACATCCCACAACATGCCTATCTGCACACCTTTTATCACTGAAAATACACAAAACATAACTTTGCAATAAACTTCTGTTTTGCAACAGCTTGTTCAAAAGCAATTGAAATTAAAGGATTATCCAAGGTAAAGATGACATGTTATATACTTGCAGGAGCCCCTTCCAACACGTACACTAAAAGCTTTTAGATAGAGATCTGCTATGATCTTAATAACCCTTACAAAACTGTCACATACATTTTCTGCCTGTAACGAATAAACCTGCTCTTAACGTGACAGTAACAGAAGAAATAATATTTCAGTTACTGTAAATATGTATTTTGCGTGTACGTCTGTGTGCACGTGA